ACATTTTCAAACCTGCTGCATTTTCTAGGGCAGAACAGAGGAGACAGAGCAGGCAGAGGACACTGTAAACTTGAGTGATGGGTATCCCAGTATGAGAAGGAATCTCCCCTCCCCTGATCACCTTCCTACTGTTATGACTTTGCCCAACTGGGTTTCTCCTATAAGCTGCCTACTCCAGGCACCTGGTATCTATGCAGTAACCCTCAGTCTCCTCACAGACCCTAATGACCAGCTAAGGTGACAGCCTGGCCCATCCCTGGCAGATGGAAGATGGCATCCATCAGCACATGCAAAGAGATTCACCTTCCAAGTTGTACTGGTGCCAGGGACAAGAGAGGGGAAATGAATAGTCACCTTATATAGTCCCTCCTAAAGTTGAATATTTCCCCAGCACTGACAGAAATGAAACTTTCATCCCAAATGCTCCAGGAGGCACCAACCTACCAGCATGTCTGGAGATAGCTCCAAAAGGTCTCCCTGGCCAGGTCCCCAAAGGGCCAAGGCAGAGGCAGTACCCGTGTATGAGCCACTCAGAGAGGATGGTGAGTCCAGAAAAGAAAACAGCCCTGCGTGATGCATCTGTGCAGTGATGAATGGGAGAACAGAAGCAGTTCAGAAGGAGGGTCAATGGAGCTGCATTTGTCTGTCCTGAAAGCCAGAGGCTGTCCCTTTTACATACAGACTTATCACCTCTCTCCCAGCTCCCAGAGACTTTGACTAGGAGAGGCTGTTGGTTGTTTCTGTTTGAGGGCCTCTAGGACCTGGTCTTTCCCATACGCAATGTCCCCAAAGCTGTGCTAGGAGACATACTCAGAAAATACAGATGCTGTTCTGCTCTGAGGGACACAGGTGCCTCAGTTGTGGGACCATGCTGAGGCAATCCCCCTCATCCCCTAAGAGCAGCTGATGCTGAGGGAAAAAAAGCACTTTACTGCTGCAACTTCCATGTCTCAGGCTGGAGACCCCTGGGTGTGAACAGTCAATTCCACCCACATCCAGAGATCCCTGACCCAACTGCTTAAGCACAGCCTTTGACCTTAGCCAGGGGCTCACATACCCCAGACATCTCTGGGGCTTCAGGACCTGTTTCAGAGTAGGCATGTGGCTGAGTGAGTGCACTCCTGGTTCAGGATGGACCTCATGGGCAGGAGTGCACTGCCAAGCCTGGCATAGACAAGCAAGGCATGTCCCGGGTTCCCACACACCCGTAAGCCCCAGTCCAGAGAGGTCCTTGTGCGCATGCCCAGCTCCAGGCCCAGTGACTGCAATGCAGCTAGCCCTGTACTTAGGACTAGTGCCTATTCAAGCCACTGCTGAATCAGGGCCCAAATCCTAGATCACTGGTCCCAAGTGGCACATGCTTGTGTCCCAGAGCCACATCTGTTCTGTGCATAAATGAACACGCTTTGCAACATGTGGGGAGGAGACTGGCCCCGGAGGATACCATGGACACAAGGCTCAGTGTCCTGAGGCAGAGTGAGCCAAAGAGCACAAGTCCTCTGGAACATTGCAAACACAAATCTGGTAAGAGTGTGGGCTGGGATCTGCGAGCGAGCACCCACTAAGTGAGAATGCCCCTAAAGACTACCAGCCAGGGAGGGAACACAGCCCAACAGCCCCATGCAGTGCATCCCATGAGAACAGAGGTAGGCTTTCAGGCTCAGTGATTCCATTGCCTCTTCTGATCGCATCACAATAACATTTAGTGTGGCACCCTCAGTGGGAACAGGGCTGGTCTGGACACTGAGGCAGCAGAGCTGCTCAAAAAATAGGCCCCTGGTTTCTTTCTTTCTCTTTGGGCTGACATGGTCATGGTCATATTAACACCAGGAGAAAAGAAAAGCAGGAAT